ATCTGTATATACTGTATAGTAGAAAAAAAAATTGCTACCTACATAATTATTGGGCGCTATATTATAGTATTCCTTTGGAAATCGACGCTGCAAACGTATTCAAAAATAATATACTGCCACATCACCGTGGGGTATCTGTTGTGTACTGGTACGGGTACCTGTTTTAACGGCAATGACGATTTTTTATTAATTTTTTTTTGGTAATTTCCCGTAAACGTTTTCGCGTAGATATAAAGTAAGAAACTGGTTTTTTTTTTACCCGGTACCTATAATAATATAGATATTGCAGTACATTATTATATTGTACACCATTATTATGGTGCCGCGACGGTGACGGTAAATAATAAGTAAAATTTGTAATATTTACTCGGACACCCGTGTTGGTGAGTTGATTCCCGGGTTTCTATTAGGTATGCACGGGTTGATTCCCCTATTGTTGTATATCGTGGTATTCAGTAATATGATAAATGTATGTATAACAATATATGTTAAATGAGCACTTAAGTCTATTAGCGTTATCCATGAGGGCAAGAGACACCACAAGAAGATTGGCTGATGAGTCTCTAAAATGTTCTTCTTTTTAGTTTTCTCATATTTTAAACCATGTTAGGTTAACTTTAGAATATTTTTTTTATTTATAATATTTTAGATAGATATTAGGTATAGGTTCATTGTCATAGTATATATTCGTCAATAGAAATTTTAGTTTGCACTTGGTAAAAATTTTAAACACATTGTTTTAAAAAACTGATATCTAGTACATACCTCTCAAATATTAAAAACCACAGAATCAATTCACCGATATCGGTTCAAGCATACGGGTACCCGGAAATCAACTCATACACAGCCTGTTGATTTCCGATTTTCGACCGCACACACGTAACGTCGATCGTAAACCTTCATCACTTTCGTTCATAATCGTTTATCTTTGGTCCCACGAAAGAAGGGCTCACATCAATATTAAGCTTTTTTTTTATAATTTTGTCTTGTAAAAATTTAATTTCCTTTATATTTTGGACGACTTAATGACATAACTGTATACATAATATGTATCCTTAAACATGTTTTACTAAACATTGATATATCATAAATCGTTTTGATGCATTTTTAGTTTTTCAAGAAGGCGTATCATATATATGATTATAGATACAAGCAATTTAGAATGTCATATTTAGGTTAAGCCATTTTAGTTGTTAATTATGTCATTTAGCAATTTTCAAAATTTAATTAGCTTGTTTTGAAAACTACCTATATAAAATTGATTTAAATCCTTTTTCCCTAGAACAAAAGATAACAATCACACTCGGCATCAGATTCAGTCACAAACGTGTTTCACCCGTAGATAATATATATACGGACAAAACATGAGTGTGTTTTGAGTGTTCGAAGAGTATATTTGTTAACAAAGTGGTTATATGCATGTGGTAGCCGCAGGGCTGTGCTAAGGGGGGGGCAAAGGGGGCAACAAGAGTTGTTGGGGTTCCAAATATTAGATGGATATAAAGTTTAAGCACTGAAGGTGATGATCACCCGCCGGAAGTGAATAAAGGATAATACAAATATACAATTTAAAATTTGTTATTTTGTTACTTATAATAACTCAATTAATAATATTCATACAACACAGTCATTTTTAATTTTTTTTTTTTTAATGCATTTATCTAATATAGGTGATAATATTTTACATTAATAATTAATAAAAAACAATCTTGTTACAATGACACTTAAATAAAATGAAGTTTGTGTATTTAGATTTAACTTTCAATTGTTCATTGATTGTTTTAATTTCGTGAAATATTTTAATGTTAAGTATTTTTCAGGCACGTAGCCAGAATTTCTTTTTAGGGAGGTCCAAATATTAAATTTATCACCAACTATCGACAATTGTATACCATTGTACCAATAATCTGATTTTTTGGCGGGATGCTTAAATTACGGGGAGGGGGGGAGAGACAGGCTTCATATTGGCATATAGGTTGTTATAAGCCTGGTATTTTTTATATTATCAAAATTTGTCAATTGATCTCGATAAGTATTTAAAACCGAATATTTTTTTGCACAACCATCAATATCAATAATATATTGTATATAATATCGAATGATTTTTATAACTATTGTTGACTGGGTGACTTCTCAATGAATCAATTGATATTATAGATAACAGATTGATAAAATGTGTTTCTTCATCATAAATCACAACTATATATATATTAAGTATAAGGATGTTATATCCACGTATAATGTATACATGTAATACATTGTACATAATATCATCTATGGTTCCATCGATCAAACAGAATTTTATCTAATAATGGGTAAACGTAACATCGGATTGAATTAATAAAATATCCAAAAACCCTATAGGGTTACTGCGATCGCCCGAATTTGTTTCTCAAACAAGTCCAAATTAACTAAATTATCCCTAGCAAATGACGGGTCGCACAAACCATTCGGCCCGAGCGGAATGTCAAAATTTGGGTAGGGTGCGCAGATACGGATCCTTTTTCGTGCGATCTATCTATATCGCGCGGTCACGTCATTGTACTATAATAATAGGTCAGTTAGATATTGCGTTATATTATTTTCGGTCGCCGTTTGGATAATGGAAATTTCTCGAAAACCATCAAGGGGACGCGTGATCTCCCCGTTATTTCGGTTTAGCCCATATAATTCTATACACACGTATATAATATATTAAAACGAAAAGAGGGCGATTAACCCCTCTGATCGGTTTAATCGATATAATATACATTATATTATATAAAAGAAAACGCGTTTATTATTTTCATTTCTCGCGGTCGCATGACAAATTGGTAAACATTATTTCCGCAACATTGGACTTTCCGCGCTGACTGCAGGTTATTCGCGAGATGCACACGATATGTACTAATTATAATGTTTTTTTTTTTTTTTTAACCCGTAGATCGGTTTACAGCCCTTTTTTTTTCATTATACACGGTCATTCGCCATTCGTTTTTAACTGCAGTTTAGTTTCCCGGTTCAAACATATTCTTTATCCACAATGGCCACCAATGAACGAGTTGTGAGGTTGTGCTGTTGTTTGAATTATTTTTATTTTCATCTAGTTAGACGTTTGGTATTTTATCTTTATGTTTATCTGGATAAATTTATATTATCGATGTCTCAATACTGATTGTTCGCTACTTGGTTACAATGCCGCGAAAACGTTTAGTTCACCGTACAGTATTTTACCAATGGATAGCCAATAACCGAAGACAGGGAATGTATAGTTATTAATTATTTGCTCATTCCGGCAACCTTGTTGTTATAAATAGATACGTTCAGTTATCAAACAATTTCAGTAAACAATATCGCCAAAACAGTTTTTTATAGTCATCATCGGGTAATAAATAATAAATTGGAAACGCCGTCGTCCGGCAAAGAGATCCATCACGGCGTGGTCCAATTACAAAAAAAAAATAAAATAGAAAACCCGCTCCTGCTATCTGAACCGTGGTAACGAAAATATTATAATTAACATTTTTTTAGTGTCCGAAACTACTGAAACGTGACGCGATAGAGCGGCACCGAACTGTAGAATACTGAACGGGTGTCGTCAACCGGACTGATCGATAAATACTAAAATAATTATTTAGTAAACTGGTATTAAATACAATTATTATTGTTACTAGCAGGTAGTTATAAATTATAAATTATAGAGTTCAGGTGTTGTGAGCATTTGCTTTTCTTCCGTCACCCCAGTATGAAATTATGTCAGCCATAAACCATAGTTGTACTGTACGCATCAGAGGATCATTACACGGAATTTCTATTATTTTTACTTTTTTAGACATTTTTTTTTTGTGTTAATCATTAAACGGTTGGGCATTTTTTCGATATTCATTTTTATTTTATTAAATGTATCTAGGTATATACATATATAGTACATATATTTATCTGTCATTTTTGAAAATTTAGTATTATTTATTCATGTAACCCAAATAAGAAATATTAGTTTCAAATAATTATTAGTGATTTTCTTTTATGATCTTTTTAAATTTTTTTTATGTTTTGTAGAGTTACAAGCAGTGTTTTTTCGATCAAATTTTCCGAGTATACTATAGCATTCTGCGTGCCTTACATCGGGTATTTTATATTTTTTGTAAATGGTTAATACTGTTTATAGGGAAATAAAATATCAATTTACAAAAATTAAATTAAAAAAAAAAAAAAACAAAAAAAACGTATTGTAAATCGTAAGAATATTGTGAATTAGTTGTAATTATTTAAATAAATCAAAATATGTAATACTAGTTTATACGGTTTTAGTAGTAAAGATAGTATGAACGGGTAATATTTTAATATTATCATGATAAATTTGTTTTTTTTTTTTTTTTATTTGAGAGTTTACGGTGTATAATATTATAGTACACCTTATAGGAACATCACTGGCTACAAGCGCTACACCATCCGAACTCGGAATTCTAATATTACTATAATATTAGTGTGTACAAACTATTTCTATCAACCGCCAATAGTTTTCATAAATCGCAGATGTGAGTGTTCCATCACAGAAACCTGTCAAATGCAATAACTTTTGTTCTGTACAATAGTTTTAAGTTTTTCTTTTTTGTGATAAGTTTTTAAAACTTAACAATAGAAAAATTATAGGACAAAGGCTCTATAATAGGTAGATATTATAAAACTTTAAAAAATTAATTAAAAATATCGAAGAAAACGATAATTTTTATTGTTATGCATTTCCCGTGGACACTGTATGGATACGATATCATAGCACATGATACTATAATAATATTCCACATTATCTTGTTTATCTATTGGTAAAATGGAATGTCTTTAGGAACGTACTGACGTATAGGTATTTTTACTGTTGAACTACTATAGCGTCTTTAGGTTTGGGATTGAAACTCTTGTTGCAGTCAACTGCAGTCACGATGTGGAAAAAAAACAATAATACAATGTTTTCGATATATACAAAAAAGTTTATTTTCATTTTTTTTTATAGTAAAAATAATTGACATAAACTTAAGGTAAATATAATATAAAAATAAGGCACTTAATGATATAATAATAATACGGCTTTGTACAGACAGGAGCAACGTAAGTATTTTATATACCTAAATCAACAATAATAATAATAATAATAATAATAATAATAATAATACATTAATTATATAACTTTTATATCCCTGTATAAAGTAAGTTGTACGCATGTGACCGTTTCAAAAAAAAAAAAAATAATGAGCAATTTCAAAAAGTCAATAAAGTCGCCTTAATCGCTTAACAGGTAACAATAATATTTTAAAAAGTAAAAAAGAAAAAATCATACTGTTAAACTTGATAAAAAATATGTACAAAATTATGATTAAAATGTCGTTGATTTAAAGAAATATGGAAAAGGCTGGGCTTATTAACGAATTAAAAAGTAAATATTAACTATTAACCTTTGATTTTTTTTATTAACTTAACTATTATTTTTTTTTTAAATTAATTAATTAATTAATGTTGTTAATATTAATAATTTGTTTTTATTTTAATACATTTTTCAATTCACAACCTGTATATAGATTAAAATAGGTATACTACATGTCAATTTGTGGAGTTCCAAGCTGAAAATAAGTGTATAATTTATTATTTTCGGAATAAACCACCTGTTTAATATTTATCATTCATAAATAAAAACAAAAATTACGAACTATAGTTAATGTTGATCCTATTTATTTTTCTGGAGAGCACACTCAACACCCAATATTATATCTTTTTATGGATTATACTGTTTATAGGTAAATAATTATATAAAAAATAAATTAAAACTATTCAAATATAACATTTGACTTTTTAAAAAAGAATTATTTTATGACATTTTTAGTTATACAAATTACTGACATAGATAAAATTTGTACTACTGTATCAGTTTTAGTGACATAAGAAGTATGATCAGATTATGATAATATCATGGCAGATTTTTTTTTCTAATATTTGAGAGTTTACGGCGTGTATGTAGTGTACCCTATGGAAACTAAAGGCTTAATAATTTATACTATTAACAAAAAGATATTACAAAAAAAAAAAAATTATCTTAACTTAAGATAATAAGTAAATTCAATTTTTCAAATTAACTTTTAACTTTAATTAATTAATAAAGCAATTAATTTGTTACTTGTTTTCAACTAACTAAATTTAACTGAGTCAATATTATTATTCATCAACTTGCCCAGCCTGACCATTTTGCGTGTACATAATTCGCAGTTTATTGATAGTGTAAATGAAAAACTAAAAAGCAAGAAATTGTACTTCCTAATCATATTAATATTTTAATCAACTTAAATGCGTAATGACTAGACTTTAAAATGTATAAAAACAAACGTCAACAAAAACATCATAAATATTATGAAGTCATAAAAAAAAAAAAAAAATGTTTGAAATTCGATTAAACAATCCATAATCATTTTAAACTATTTGACCACCTCAAATAATTTGTTTTTTTTCTTAGTGGCAATAACACATTTAGAAGAAATTTTACCGAGACAAAAACATAATAATAATATTATAAATATTATAATATGTTATCATCTAATAATAATAATAATAATAATAATAATGATAAAACTGATAAAAGAAACGAACCGCAGCTATTTTATCATAATAATAATAATAATAATAATAATAATAATAATAGGAGTGTTTTGGTTATGTAGTTTTCGGTAAACAGTTTGCTACATTGTCTGTTGGTAGTTTGTCACTTGGTTATAATATCGTTAAAAAGTCTTGTCTACCGTACGTATTTTTATCAATGGATAAACAGTAAACAGAGTTTTTAATTATTTGCTAATTCCGGCAACCTGGTTGTTGAAAAGTGCATTCAGTTATCAAATAATTATTGTAGTGAACAATATCGCCAAAACACTCCTAATATGTAACTAAAGTGATTTTTAACCCACGCGGTACGAGTAATAATATTAAATATTAATAATAATAATAATAATAATAATAATAATAATAATAATAATTGTAATAATAATAATAATCATAATAATAATATGCAATAATTCTATATAGAAAAAAATGTAAAATTTCGTAAAAAAAAAAGAAAATAAAAAAATGCGAGTAAAAAAATATTTTGTCTTAAACATTCTTTCCCCCGGCAACGCGGTGATGTCAGTTTTGATTGTCAGTCAACAGTTGGGTGTAAAAGTTAGGCGGCATGCGGAATTGCAGTTCACCGGGTTCTAGTTTGTACTGTACGTCAGAAAACAGATTAATATCGGCTGTCGTCAGCAACTGATGGTGCTGATGTTGATGCAGATGCTGATGCTGTTCGGGCTCGGGCTGTACATGCAACAAAAAAAAAAAAATTATTTTTAGTTATTTTTAATTCGAACGAGGGGAATTTGCTAATAGAATAAAATTATAATAATATATAGGTGTAGCTGGATGAATTGAAGCGAGATAAAGTGGACGACGAGCGGTGCAGAGACCGTATTCGTTTTGATTAGGAATTAATAAAATATCAAGTTTAGACTAGGTTATTACCAGGTTCAAGGAGTAGCGGGTAAAAACGAAACGGATTAAGACAGGTACGACGGTCAATAGACTTGTTAAAAGAAGAGAGAAACGTTATAATTATAAAAAAAAAGTAAAATTACCGGTGAAGCACTCTGCTGTTGCATATTTATGTGGTTGTTGTGCGGTGCCTGTATCGAGAGGACGCCTTGTAGTTGGTTTATGTATTCGATGGCCAGTTGAAGGGTCTTAACTTTGCTCATACGCTTGCTTCTGTAACATAAACGAAACAAAAAAAACCTCATAAGTATATCGTTTCGGTACTTAGATTTTCGGAAATATTATTTGCTGTATACGAATCCGGTTTTCACATCAACATAATTTCGTAAATAAAATTATCCGCAAAAATTAAAAAAAAAAAAAAAAAATTAAAATGTTGGTTATTTACTCATTTAACGCGCATACTCTGTATGTCTTATTGTATACTTTCTTGTCCCGAGAAATGTACAACAATTTTGGACGAAATTTGTGCGGACATTTATAACCTAGCGTATTCACGAGTGCGTCATCGCATATATAGGTGTTTTGGACGCAGTTCGCCGTGCGTGGCCGTATAACATATTATACCGCGACGCGCTCAACACCCGGTATAATTCACGAAAACGTCGGGAGTGCTGTGGGTGGAGGTGGTGGTGGTGGTGGCGGTGGGGCACGTTCCAATATGTTTCGGCCGCGGAACCGAACCGGGTGTGCCACTCGAGGAGACGCACAGGAAGCTCCTAACGACGCGACAGGGATGCGAAACACGTGTGCGGAGTCGGCGCGGCGGCGAGGCGAACGGGCAAATGAGCCGGGACGGGCGGCGCGATATTGGCGACACGTGACGCGCGCCTGAGAGTAAGTAGAGCCCCCGTTAGTTAGTACAGACGCAGACAGGTCTGACAGGAACACCTCCTCCCGACGGCGACGGGATTTCGTGCAGACGGCCCCGTTATAAAAAGGCACGTCCTATGCACCTGAACACCGCGCACGGGCCGAGTGGGCGCGATTCGGGATCGGTCCCCGGCCCGTGCTCAAACAAAGTTATTAGTACGGGCATTCGGGGGTCAAATCTTGTGTTAAGACTCTCGCGACGTCCATATTAGACGTGCGTAAGTCGAATAAGAAAACGCGGGAGAAAAACCCAATAGATCACGTCAACTCAAAACGTAACCTTACTCGCGTGACCTGGTGAAACCTATATAGACGACGGGCAAATCGGGAAGACCGAGAAGCAAGTTTCGTCAGAGACATCGTGGTAAATGATATTAAACCCACAAAGTTTCTTTTTAGGGGGTGTGTAGGGGCAAAGCCACCCGCGGGTTTGCGAATCGTATAGTCATTTTCGCGTCCGTCGCGAGTCATCACGGCGGCGGCGCCGTCAAAATACTTATGCGGGACGCTGTATAATAACGTTCGATACTTTTCGCGGCATGCTCTCATTTATCGGCGGGTGATAAGAGAAGAAAAAAAACGGGCGATAAACCAGCGACTAAACGGTCGACCGAAGTGAATTGTCGCGCCCTTGAAAATGGGGATGAGGAGTGGAACACGAAATATTTTCGAGAATCCCCATTCTCCCCCGTTGGGACTCTTTGAAAACCGCCGAGGCGGGTGTCGGAACCGGCCGCAAAAGGATATTATCATCGATGTAATGCAGGCGGCCTTGATACGGAAGAAGAAAAATAGGAAGAAGCCGCGCGCCGAAAGCACGCGTTTTGGACGTCGCGGCGGCCGTGCCCGTCGGATGTGACGCGTGCAGCGGGGCTCGGGACGCGGACGCGTTTTTTTTCCCGGTACGTAATAACATTATAATATTATAATTACGGCGGCGGCGCGCGCGCGCGCGGAGAGAAAACGTTTTCGTCAAAAACCGCCGGAGGCGTCAGCGGCGTTAAACCCGCGGGACGACACGAAACGCGCGTGTACAGTTATTAGACGGAACGGAGGGGAAAACGAAAAAAAAAAAAAAAACCAGATCCGGGCACGCGCCGCGTGTATTACGTTCGGGTACGCGGACGTCGTCGTCGTCGTAAAGTAGGTGTGCGATCGCCAATAATCGCCGACTGGTGTCGGCGGCGGCGGTCCAGAAGCACCTGTTGTCGTCGCCGTCGTCGTTTTTTATTATTATTATTATTATTACTATATCGTCCAGTTTTTTTTTTTTTTTTTGGTGGCACACGACTAAGTGTAAGAATGACGATGAAAAAAAAAAAAAAAACAAACCAGTTTTGCCGAAAAAATACTTATACTATTATAAAATACGTATACGCTCGTGTACAGAAGTGATCGCGGCGCCGTAGCGGACCCGGCGGTGCGGAGAGTGGAAGAAAAAAAAAAAAAAAAAGCTGACGGTCAAAATAATAATAATAATATTACATTATTATACATATACGCGCATACGCGCGAGCATATTCGTTACCGGTTCCTTCTTATGGACAGAAAAAAAAAAAAAAAACCACCGAATTTTTACGTTTAATCTCTTCCTCTCCTGCTACCCGTGTACCCATTCCGGACGGGGACGGACGTCTCGTACGCGGACGGACGGTACGTATACACCTACGGCGCGCGGCTGCGAGGGACACGCGCGCCGCCGTGCGGTAATATTATTATTAATAACGGACCGGCGGCGGCGTCGGCTTTTTTGGAGGATTAGGAGGTGTATACCTATGTGTGTATATATATATATATATATATATGTATACATGTATTTACGATATCCAATCTATATACGTATACGCATGTACGCCTATTATAAGTGTATCGGAAGGATTCGGCGATGGCCGCCGATGAGGACTGGGGCAAGGAAGAAGGAACGAGTCGAACGGCTACCGACGACGGTGCAGGTGCTTTTTTTTACTTTTTTTTTTTTTTGGGCGGCTCGTGCCACGGGACAAGCCGTCGCGCATCACCTGCCCGCGCCGTCGCGGTCGTCGCCGTCGTCTTCTTACTCGGTTTGACCTCAAGTGCCGCGGCCGAAAAGACGTTCTGTTTGTATACTAATTATTATTACGACCAGTTTTACGTGTACGAATACACCCGTATTATATACACATATATTATTATTAGGTATTATTTAGTCGTTTTATTACCGTGTACCCCAGCGCGCGCGCGTTCGAGAACTTTTTCGGGTTTGGTAACGCCTTTCGTTTCAGCGCCGGTGGTGGCCCGGTGTCGTTAAAAAAAAAAAATATTAGTTATTAGTTTCCGATAAACCGGAACGTTTTTTTTACTAAACTGTTTTGCCGCCGTCGCCGCCATCGCGCGCGATTTTCGGTCTCGTTACACGGTCGCACCACGATCGCGGGTATCCGGAATAACAATAATAACGATAAAGGTTCGACACCACCGTAGACCGGTATATAAAATAACGGACTGATAACAGTCAGAGAGAAGGAGAGAGGGCGAGTGAACGAGGTCCGGGGGCCGACGTTGTGTGTTAGACAATGATAGCGTACTGCGCGTTAAGCCCAGGCACATTTCAGGGTACAACAATGCCGGTACGATATAATAGGTGACGATTATCGCGGGGTACGGGGACTAAGCGGAGATCGGTGGAGTGGATTAGGCCTCCAAATTCGTCAAAAGGCTCCCTACAATTCGTATTTTACATAATAAGCCAACTATTCCAGCCCCCTTCGAAACGATATCGAATATCCGGAAATATACGCGATGATACGGTAATATATTATATGATCGTCCGTACATTAACTCTCGAAAATGATTTAAAATTCGCGAAATCGCCAATGCAATTGATATTGGATTAGATATTAAAAACGTGAAAAACATTCGATTCGCGTCGGTCTGCGGAAAAAACCCCGATTGACGTCACTATAGGCCGTTTAAAAATGATAGTATGTAGGTACCTACCGGGAAGATAACATATAATATAACAACATTCCTTCATTCGTAGGTGATATAAACATAATGCGTACATCCGGGGGTGGGGGGTTTATAGTTTATACGTCAAGTGACCTTTTTTTAAACCCAAAAACGATCCGGGATTGTTTTTTACCGTCTTAATACCAAGAGGATGTCGCGTTTGGTAACGTTAAATACTTTGTTCCGGGATGTACCGCGCGTTTTAAAAGAAAACCGTATTTTTTTTGTTGTTGTTGTTGTTAAGTACACGACCCGCAAACGGATTTCCGAGGTAAGCGTAATATGCGATAATGTAGACAAGGACCCGGGTTTGTACATCGAGTCGCCGGAAAACCACTTTGTGCAGCCGCGTGTGGTTATCGTGCCGTGAAGCGATTTTTACAGCCTCCGCAATACCCATATGTATATTATAATCTAAAAATACACTAAGACTACACGTACTTGAGTGGCGGACGGACGGAAGGAAGGAAGGGAAGGTTTAATTTTTAATTTTTTTTAAACAAACATTTCGGTTCACTTGTCGGATAGGGTTAACGACGACGATTAAGAGGGTCTTGGAAACGAAAACGAGATTGGAAAACGTGCGTCTCGGGAATATATCGTTACCGGGCCGCAGTCAAACGACTTTTATAATATATGTATTATTATTTAGTGTTTCGGTGATGGCCACCTCGCGCGACATCACGAGAGATTAATAATGATAATGATCGTGTTAATTATTATGACGGGGTTGTCTGATATTATTGACGAAGTCGTTTGATCGAATACGGGCCGAACGACTATACTAACAGTCGAATCTTGTAGGCAAATTATATCGAGTTAACCGAGTGTTTGAATACAATAATATAAAACTGCGAAAGGTTCGAAACGTCTTAAAAAAAAAAAAAAAAAAAAATCGAATAACCCAGAGAGTTATAATTATAAAAAGTACTTAATGTCATAGGATCGTGTCGATAGACGCTAAATCACAACACCGCGGTGCAGCAATTTATTCTGAATTTGAAACGCGTTCCCAATATTTCCATAGATAACAAAGAAATGGATAGGCTATATCCCTATACCTTATGCACTGCAGAGCGTCGGGGTGTGACGAAAAAGAACGGAACGCTAAATGTTACAGTGGTAGATAGCTGTTAAGGGTTGTCGGACGGTATTTGTCAATGATAAATTATTGAAAATTTTGTTATCATTAATCAATACATCATTAATCAACATAATATAATCAAATATGATTATATTATGCGTGTCTTGTAGCTGTTGTCATGTGTTTCAAATTATCGGCACATCCGTATAGTATAATCATAGACTTGTACATCTAAACGGAACATTCAGCATGAAAACGTATTGCGGCCGGTAGAGTTTCGTTTCGAGGACAGAAACCCGTGGGATAATAAACGGAAAGTTTTAATTGGCTGATCTCGGAGTGTGAATTTGCTCTCTTACACACTAGGCTTCATATCAGCCTATCTTGTTTATTGATCCGTCTAGATGTATGTCTATAGTCTAAGTCTATGAGCATAATAATATGATCTACGTAAAATATCTGCGGTGATTAAATTGCGATTATTGCAAATTAATTAATTGTAAATAAATAATAAATTGCAAATACCACGATTCGGTAACCACAACTCTATATAGTTTTTAACTATATAAAGTTACCTCCGATCACATACGAGAACAATGATGGCACAATGGTCCATCCATATAACATCTTTATTATCTCGTATGATCGATTAATTTTTCCTAACGATTTTTGGCCGATGACAACAATACATAATATAGTACAAAATATTCACAAATAAAACAGTATATCGGGTCATAACTCACTTGTTTTCTTCTAGCGGGACGACCCTCCGGAGCCTGGTGAACGCCAGGTTGACCGCCTGTACGCGGCGCCGTTCCCGGGCGTTACGCCTGGCCACCACTTGCGCGGGCTTCTGGCCGGCCGGCATGTCTTTGGACCGGCTGCCGGCTGCTCCCTTGGTGGCCTTTGACGAACCGGCCTTTTGGCCGCCGCCCGTGGACGTGGACGCCAACGACGGGCCCGGCGACGAGCTGGTCGTGCTGCATATGATGGTGTTCTGGCTGTCCGAATCCGACAGCCAATCGGTTTTGGGATTGTGGTGAGCGAACGCTTCTGCGAAAACAAAAAAAAACCCGGGTTAAAACAGAGCTGCAGTACATAAACGGTCGAGAAACTAGCAGAAAAATAAAAATGTTTCGAATAAATAATAACATAGTATGCGCCACCAACTAAAAGTGTATAAGTTACGGTTCGGGCGATTTCCGTTTGCTACTGCTACACGACCGAAACGAAAAGCGATCGCGGACATTATAAACGAATGAAAACCACAAACACTGCTGCAGATTTCGTAAAACCAATGAGTAAGGGGTTGGGGAAATGGTTTTAAAAAAAAAAAAAAAATGTATGTTTAAAATACAAAAAATACGTACTTCATGTACGTATATACGTATAACATACTGTCGCCGATATCTCTTCCGGGGTTTTTTATTTTATTATTATTTTTTTTTTTATGTGTACTCGCGGCTCGGTCGAGCGACTCGCATTTGCATACAAACCGACCGATTAAGTACTACGGCCGTCGCGTCGTCATCGTCCCATTAGGCAACCGCTCTTACCCCTCCCCCCAACACACACCCTCCCCCACATATCCGTGTATGTTTTTATTCCGTTTGGGTTTTTTTTTTGTTGTTTTTTTTTCCTGTTGTTTACAACGGGGCGACCGAGTACCTATATAGTATATTACATGATTATATAGAGTAGGTCTTGTCGGCGGTTTTATTTAGTGCGCGCGCAGAAACAGGAAACGCGCCGCGAGCAGTACTACGGCGGCGGCCCTTAATGCTGCTGCAGCCGTCGAACAATAGTTTTATTATTATTATTGTTATAATTCCGTTCCATTATAAAAAAAAAAAAAAAAAAAAAAACGGTAGCTCGCGGAGCAAAGTATGAAAAAACATTTTTGAAAACCACGCGCATCCGTCGGCGTACAATTTCGAAATTTTCGAGCGCGCGAATATTCGTCGACAGAGTCGGTCGGGGGCGCCCGTAGTTCGGGATTTCGGCGGAAAAACGAAAAAAAAAAATAAAAACAACCGGCCCCGCGACCGTCATTCCAGCCGGATCCGAGCCCGGGGCCGAACTTGAAAAATAAACCCCATGCGCGTAACAACGCGAACGCGTTTTGTGTAAATGTTTGTGTGTGAGCACTGCGAAAACGATTGCCGAACATTCCGTTGCTGTAGTGTACACATCGTTATTAAATGCGGCGACACGGCGGGCCCTTTACGGTGGCGGTCGCGTCCTCACCCGTGTCCCTGCCACCTCCCGGCTCGCCGTAATCCAACCGAACGACTGTACTGGCTGGGCCGGGCGGCGGGATTCACAACGGGAAACCGTTCCCCCGGTACTACGCTGCGTGACTTTCGACAGACTTTCGGCCGCGCGGCGACCAACTCACCCAGCAGCTGCAGACGGACCGGCGATGACGGCGGCGTGCTCGCGAGAGATTCCATTAGTGGACGTGTACACTGAAATCGGCGAGGACCGCGGTAACAAAAAGACGTTTTCTCCGTGCGTTTTACGCGCGCGCGAATAACACTGCTGTTGCGACCGGGCGAACGTACCGGCGGACTGCGCGGCGGCCGGTACGAAACTGAACCGTCTGAGCGAAAGGTATTCGGCCGGGGTATAACGTGCGATATAATATAATATTTCGGGATCGCGTTTTATCGTGATGTGTATTATTATTGTACGCGCTATAGGTACGAACGTCGCACGCCGTACCTATACGGCGAGGAGGACGGCGACGTCGACGTACCTTTTGTGTATTATCAAACCAGTTTATTTTTATTTTTTTTTTTTTTTTTTTCACCACTCTGCCGAAACGGGGATGTTGTGTACCTTTATGCGCGTACATAATATACGAGCCGGCGCACGGGTATACTGCGGTGCGCAAAGCCGCCTAAAGGTCTGGGCGTCGCACAATGGGTACCGGGGATTTGTGCGTGCGTGCGCTCGTGAACAGTCCGCAGGGATTCCGACCCCCGTAAAGACCGCCGTCGCCCGGGTGCGTACACCTATGCCCGGCTATAACATAATGCGCGCGTATGGTATTCCGTCGTTCCTGTACACCTATATGTGTGTGTGTGTATAATATATTATTATTATTGTGTGCGCCGTCGGTATGGGGGGCGAGCGAATGTAACGAATTTTTTCCGCCCCGCGTGCCCTTCGCCCCGAGGGAGTTGTTCGAGATTTAAAATAATAATAATATATACGGAGGAAAAAAAAAGAAAAAAGAAAAAAAAGACGAGCTCGCGAACACAATAGACGAGCAACCCCGGTTACGCAACGTGCGCGCCGCCGTCGGTCGTCGTTACCTGAGCAGCACTACCGGAGTTACACGTTTGCGCGCGCACGGTCGTCCGCCGGTTATTTGTGTTATTATATTCCGCGGGCAATCGGCGTTTTTTTTTTTTTTTTCCACGGACCTCACGTGGCTCGAATCGCATTATAATACACACGCGTGTGTCCGGCGCGGAGAAGAGGAAAAAGCAAAATAATAGAAAAAAAAAAAAAAAAAAATGAACAATCGGTCAAAACCGCCGGGAATCGGACGGGGCACCTATGCGACCAACAGTGATAATGTACGGATACGCGACAATAAACGTGCCGAGTATTATTGTACAGGGTGAATTTTCGTACGGCGGCGATTGTCTATTTACTTAATAGACGTACGCGGGATCGGTCCGTAAAAAGAAATTGTTCGCAATATATTTTCGTAAAACGCGACCTCCGAAGTCACGTGGTTTGGGGGGGGGAGGAGGGGTATAGTCTAATCGTACTTTTTACACACCTAAACCCGAACGGCCGGATAACTGCACTCGGATGAAAACCGCGTGATTCAAGTCGAAAAAGATTATTTTCCGGAATAATTTCACTAGTTCCATAAACGCTTTATTGTACATAATTGTGCATTATGTACACGTGAAAAAAACTCATTTACGCCGATGACCTAAACGCTGCAACCGCACAAGGGAATAAATGCGGCGATTCGACCTTGCCCCGCGCCGCGGTACCGCAGGGTCGCGGTGATGTACGCGCGGACCTTGGGCTAAGAAGAGCCAAACTCGGTTTCTCGAAGTATACCTCAAGCGAACCTGATTGAACCGTCTTTAGTCAAATTGGCAAATACCTACGTTTATTATTTTTGCTCTCGTAATTCCGTACAGCGATCGAGATGCCGTCCCTCCGGCACGGGAAAATAAACGTCGAACGTCGTATTGAGCTCTGGAACAGATTTTCACGAAAAACCGCAAAGACGGGTCCTGTCCCGTTTTCTCGGGCCCGGCGCGCACACGGGGCCCGCGATTTGCGTGCATTAATTAGATACTCGCGGACGCTCGGATCGATAATACGCGCAACGAATCGTCGTGGCTCGCGAGGCCCGATAGACGAAAACAAAAAAAACACGTCTGCTAGGTACGCCGCGAGCCGGCAGACGATTTTCTTCCTTCCCCCTCACCCCCCCCCCCCCCATCCCGAAGACGTATACGCACATTTATACGTACATAATATGGAGCACACGGCAGCGCACGTAATATTATGTTATATTGTTAGTGCGCCATTCGTACACCTTATGTCGCGGACCATATGACGTACCGCCTATATTTTAATACCTATACACGGCGCACGTTTTAATAATATTCCTTGGGAACGCCAGACCCCGGCGTGTATAGCCCATATGGTCTTTACGCGCATACGCCAGACTAGACGGGAATTCTACGACGGCGTCGACGCGACCGACATATGGCGTGAATATCACCCAAAGACGTGAACGAAAGGCGTTCACCTTTTCACCCTCTCCCGCGATCTGTCTGGTAACGGTACGGCACACGGGCGCGGCGCGATTTTCGCGGTACGGTTCGTTTTGGCCGGACCCCATTAAAAACGCGTGTACCTAATAATACGTCGGACACGTGGAATTATTATTATTATTATTACGCGTACCGAAAACGGAAAGAGAGAAATGCAAAATATAATAAACCCTCGCCGTGTACACGTATTTTATATTATATTATTATACGTACGGAATACGGAATATGTGTGTGTGTTCGGGGGTGCGGGAGCGTGTGGGGGGTTGGGTGCCACCTGAGCCGAAAAACTGACCGACCGTCAAATTATCCCGTAATTTCGCCCGGACCGAATTCTACTTCCGGACTACAACAATATTATCGTTGTTATTATTATTATTGTTGTTATTCGAATAATCTCGATTTTACGCCCCCCCGCACAAAGGGTGGTCGGAACATATATATACACGGTAATAATAAATGTCGCGGCACCTGAGCGCGGGATATTTGAATTTTTTTTACCCCCTGAACGACGAGACGCGTATTATACCCGATATGCACACACACACACACACACACACACACACGCTATAAATAGAAAAAAAACCGTTCACGGTTCGCGAAACACGGTAACGACTCATTTCCGACCGTGTGAGAACCAAAACGGATAAAATAAAAAACAAAATAAAACACGAACCTCCGGGTTCCGGCGGTTGAGCCCTGCCGCAGTCTCGTTTTAATAAAATGTTATCGCGTTAAAACGGACAACGAAATCTGTAACGAATTTTCGTTTCCCTTCTCACACACGCGCGCGCACCCGTTATTATTACTCCCGTGGGACTGTTCGAAGGGATTTTAAACTCGCTCTCGGCGAACCCGCACGATATAATAATGTTACAATTCGAAACGGGCGTGCCCGTTTATCCGATATTTGTCGCCGATTTAAAACCGTTACACCCAATACCCGACATCGGAAACCGTTTGTCGGTTGTATTGATATTAACCGATGTATCGGTTGAAAATCCGTTTTTTTAGACACATTAAGTAGACATTTTTATTTTAAAAAAAACCACCCTTATGAGCATAATATATTATACTCATAAACACGTACGGTTCGAAAATACGTACAGGGCTTGAGCCAAAAGGTTTTCCGGTGTACACAGTATGTATAGTCCGAACCAATTCAAATAATACGGGCAGGGCTTGAAATGGCTCGGGGAGGGCCAAGCCTTCATACGCTCCCACCCCGCTTACTGTGATTACAAGTGCATATAGATATCAGTAGCAAAAATATTCTACGGTAAACGAAAGCGTCTCTTACCCGCGTCGGAGCCGGCGGTCCACCAGTCTTCCTGTATGTTTCCTTGGTCGACTCTGGAACAGAATTGCATAAACGACGGCATGGACGATTTCAGTTCTTCGCTTAGGCTCATCATTTCAATGGCCTTTTTGGTGATCGAAAGGTTTCCTGTTGCGAAACGAAAAAAAAGTTCAAGTAAAAAAAAATTGTAATAATTACAATATAAGATGAATCGTGTTTATTTTTATTTTTTTTTAAGGTCGACCGTATCCCCGCGGAGGGGAGGGGGCAAGTGGCCGGGCACGAGTTTTCGGATTAGTATAATAAACTAATAATAATGTTATTATTATATTGTTGCCGTCGTTCAATATTTGTACGGATTTATAATATTATACAGACTAGCTGTACGATACGATAGGCCAGCGCGTGTTAGTCGCGCATCTGCTTTTGTTTTTCGGTAAACAAAAATAACAAAAAAGTCGCCCGCCTTTAATAAAGCGCCTGTTGCTTTGCAAGCTGCGTGTACACTCGGAGGGGAAGTTTTACGACGGTTGTATAATATATACACGCGGTAACTCGTAATCGATTTACTGGTTTTCCGATCAACCCTCGTCGCAATATTATATAGTACACAATATCTCCTCCCGTCACGCGAGCGTGTTGTTTTTTTTTTTAAGATCTATATTATTTTATTCTTTTAAAAAGAACGCGACTTGTTGCTCGACACGTCGTGTGCGCGCGTACAAATATTATCGCGTGTCTTATCACAAATTAAACAATCTGTCAATGAGTCCGACGCCGCCGCCGCGGTCACAAACGACACCGGTGTAGTGTAAATGTATTGCGTGTAATAATACGTAAGCACGCGCGCCTGCACACAGTCTCGCTGCAGTATATTTGTCCGAAATGTAAAAAAAATTTAAAAAAAACCCGTTGATTAAAGACAAAGAAAAAAAAAATTACGGTAGGTAATACCCCGGCGATATTGATTTATCAACGACCGTATAAAACCCATTAACCAAAAGAAATGGAATATAATTGACCGACGCGTTTTTTGTCGACGACAACAGGTTTTATACATGCGATGCCGCATAATACTATAATCGTGGTTTTGGATCTAAAACAAGGTGACATTTTTTTTTGTTTTTCAAATTTTATCCGCCGTCCATTCATCCGGACACGCGTCAGGGTACCGTTCGGTATTCGTACGTCCGCGTTGTCGATAAACACGAAATATATTAGACGCACTATCGGTGTCAGCTAATCGATGTTAATACAATTCAACGGCATATTTGGCATACACCCGTCAAGTGTGTTGCGCGCGCGAAATTGTCGACGGCTTAATAAGTTTTTGCGTATTGCACTTTGACGTTGTTAGTGGCGCCGAACCCTGTGTCCAGTCGAGTCCGTTTAAAAATTGAACATGTCGAACAGCTCCATTTCGGGTCCAAAGTTCGGTTGTCGAGTCACCGAATGAACACTTTCGTTTTACGGAAACAAAACCCTACGCTCGTCGCTATCCCCGCGGGTAAACCTTCCATTGTGTTTTCCGTCTCCGTTTGAAAACGAATTGGCTCGTCAAACATTCACACGGTCGTGCGGATAATGCGCTATGACCCATGTCCTGTTTTTTGGGGGGGAATGAGGAGGAGAAGGAGGTGGGGGGGATTAACGCTGCAATTAGACGGCTTAAATCCACACCCGAATATCACGCCGAACCTACTGCACGAAATTTCACAGAGGATTTGCGCCCCTCCGCGGAGGTGGAAGCGGTGCAAGCCCCTAACCCCCAATCGCTCCCGTCTGTTGCACTCGCGCGTTGATATTTTTTTCAAAATTGTTCGCGGAATTATTACCAATATTATTACTATAGTTTTCGTATAGCCGATCGAGAAATCGCAAAGCGCCATTTTTTTTTTTTTGAAGGAGAAGAAGAAGTGGCAGAAGAATTTATAATGTATGCGTTATTTCTCGGTACGCACAATATTATTGTACACGAGTGTAGTATATACTCGAGGAGCGAACCCTGGGATTTTCCCCGCACACGAAAACCGGTTCTATAAGAGTATCGCGGGTACGATATTATTATGTATGCGCATTCTACACCACGCACCGCGGAGGGTTGTGCGTGCGTAAACAAGGGCTTATTTATAACGGGGGGGTTGGTTTAAGTGCGGAATATAAAAAAAAAAAAAAAAAAAACGTTTATACAATAATGTACATATGTGTGCGCGCGCGCGCGCGCGCGCGTGTGTGCGCGTATATACGCGTACCGCGTTTTAAATTCGGTTTCGCTCGGGCGCGACCCCAGAGCGCGCGGTTTCCCCGTGACGTGCACCGAACGTCGTCGTCGTCTACGGGTACGACCGCCGTGTTTAAAAGACTCGCGTATTTCCAATGCGCGCGCGGCAAATATTATACACAACAACGCGGCATAGGTGTACACGATGATGTTGTACGGAAACCGTTCGTGCGGGGAGGGGGGAGGGCGGGGAATTCACTCGCGTCCCGTGTACGTGTACGCGTATGCATACATGTGCACACGCACGCGCGCGCACGCAGAATCCTCTTTATGCCGTGTCGCAGGGTGTCTCGCGTTTCGCAAGGGCGCGCGTTATTTGTACATTCGTTCGGGTCGGATATCGTCGTACGCGTATACCGTGCTACACGGCGATACGTAATTTATGGCGATTTTTTTTTTTTTCCACAATAAAATAATAATATATTGTACTGTTCGTTTTTTTCCGCCGCAACGGCGGCAGCGAGGTATTTCTGTTGTGTACTCGCCGGCTGTATACAATATATATATATGTATATATATATATAAAATACACACACACACACCTATCGTGTTGTCCGCATATTTTATTCTTTCGCCGACGAACCGATGCCCCGCGGTATATGCGTATAACAACGAAAGGGGGTGTGAATTTAACGCGCTAAAAAACCGTTTAGAAATATCGAAAACGCGCCTAAAAGCTTAACAGTCACTTACTGCGGGTATTTTTCAAAATTGGTTTTTTGGACAAAAAACGTCTGCCGTCTTCGGAACACGGAAAAAGTGTTCCTGTAACGACTTCCGCGTAAATTTCGAAAACCGTTCCATCAGTTGGTTTCCGTTGGGAGCCTGTTGGACGAAAAATATAAAACCCTTCTCGCGGCGGTGATTAGGGCGGTTCGGGGAGGGAGACTCGGCTAAAAACGCCTCGCCCATCGCCTGATAAAAAAAATGAACGAAAACTTTACCCGCGGGGTGTTTTATTGTACACGAGCCTAATTTAAAAATAGTCCGTCTCCGAAAAAAAAGGCTATCGAATCTCCGCCTACGGGGCCGACAAAATATTAGGGGTGTGAAGTTGGCGCTAGCGGAACTTTTCAAAAGAAATCGGGACAATGCCAAAACAGACTAACATCGTATAGGTGTGTAAGTCGGCTGCAGTGCGGGCCCGTCAAAACGAAGTTCCGACGTCGTATTCACGTTCACTCATCGGTCGCTGGACAAATTTCGCAGACGACGCTCTGTCCACGGCGAATCGGACAATACGAATTCGTCCGTTAGAAAATACACGACATTACGTGTGCGCGGTATTTGTTCGGTTATAATATTGTGCGATATTATCGTTAAGTTGTCGCGTTACAATTAACATTATCTGGGCGCGAGTCGCGGGGCGTCGGAATAATATCGAAAAGGACGGCGAGGATCGCCGTCGTCGCGACGACCGACGACGACAAAAAAAAAAACAACCGTTTGACGACTCGGAACGCCGAAAATAATAAAACAATGGTAATCTATAATACGTGTTTAGCATAACTACGTTATTAAAACGACCGTCCTGGCGTATATATATAGATACAGTCCTACCTGCATGGACTCGACAAAAAGTCGTGTTACGACGACGTCGGCGACTAAAAATACATCGGGGGTGGGGGGAAAGATGCCCCCCCTCCTCGACAGTAAACCAATATACGCGGGATTATTACATATTATTATTATTATTATTATTGTTATTCATAACCGAACGTCTTATGATGTGTGCGTACCAGCATGATATTATTATAATATCATCTGGATCCCGTATCCTTATACATATATATAAAAAAAAAAAAAATACGTGTGTTTGCCGAAGGACACGACTTACACGCGTATTTATTTTACTCCGCTTCTACCTCGCCGCCGGTTAAGCGTAGGTTACCCGCGGTAGGTTGTCGGTATACGCGCGGTGTCTGCGGCGGCGGTAGTCGCACCGGCGCGACACACGATACCGTTGTCGCACGTCGTCGCATACGATTATTTTTCTCGGGCCAATAATTTTATTATTACCTGTGCGTCCGCCTCGGAACCGCGCGCGCTCGCGCGTCATTATCCTTATTATTAATATACGGGACGCACGCGGGTAATTTACACGCATAAAGATAAACGTGCGCCCGCGCGCGCGATCTACTGCGGCGGCGGCGAAACACACAGACAAACAAACAATATGTTAAACTCTGTATGCGCGCGGTGCGGCGTGTCTTCTGTTTAGAAGCCGGACCCGCATGTTGTAATGAAATATTATGTGCGCGCGGACAACGCACGATACCGATATTGTCGCGCGCTGTTTCGGTTTGTGCGACAGCGACAGCCCGGGGTGACGTGAGAAATTGGGTACGATTAACGACGACAACGCGGTATGTATAGGTAAATGTAGGTGCCCCCCCCCGCGACGGCACCCGTCACCAGCAAAATCGTCGCGATGTTTGTGCGGTACCTATAATACAAGACGATTCATTAAAAATTCCCGTTTTTTTTTTTTTTTCGGTTAAATTTTGCCTCTGATTTTTGGGATTTTCAAATGTAGTGTTTTCGAATAATTGAATTTTTCACAACGCTCAACGAGTTTTTAAGAAGAATTTTTAATATATATAGGTTCTCGTTCGAAAAACTAAAATTGGTATCAATACATGCAAAATTTAACCGAGAAAACGGCGTGAACACGCGTAACCTATTGTCGTTATTTACCGGGAATTATATACGCGATTCGGAGTGGGGGGGGTGTCATGGTCGAAAATTTACGTCTTTTTTGTACGAAAACAGTTGGCCAACCGTCAGTGTTATCCTCGCTAAAAAGTGACCTCGCCACGGGCCCGGAAGTGTTGTTTCGTTATCGATTGGGTATATACAACACTTCACACGTGAGACTTTTTTTACGGCGATTTTTTCGCCAAACGTAATAAATTCACTCCCCCACTCTTCCCCCAGTGAAAACACTAAACATACATACATATACCTGTGTGTACCGTCCAAATATATTGTGTTTAGCTCGCGTTAAAAAATCCCGGCCACTGATAACCGATAATAACCGTCGCAGCTGGTGAAAACCGCGAAATATAATTCGTAAACGTACGACCAACGCGCGTCAAAGTCACCGCGATAACGAAACCGTAAATATCGATACGATATTTATAACACGCGGTTTTAACCGGAAATTAACGATTTGATAGAGAGAAAAAAAACAATCCCAACAAAAAATATCCCGGGTGATATTATTTTCGTGACGGTCTCCCGCGAATGTTCGTGTCGTTGAGGGCCGTGATCGACGGGGGTGGGGACGGAGGGTAAGTTACGCTCGCGGACCGGCGGCGGCCTTTCGGGCCCCGGACGATCTATAATTGGAAACGAGCGGGAAAAACATCTCGTGGTTTGCCCAGAATATACGTGTCGATTTATCGATTATTCGTTAGTGTTTTGTGTAAAGGCGGGTATTTTTTTTCTCGAATCGCGACCGGGTGAAACTTCGCGTACATGACGAATGCGCGTAACAGCACGAAACGAACGGAGCTATAGGCATCATTCGTTTTGTTCGTAATATTATGTGTGTACGAAATTTTCGCGTAGAAATAATAATAATAACAATAAAAAAAAAAAATGTACAAACAACATACGGGACGTATGTAGAGCGGTTCGTGACCGCGCATGACATTATTTCGTTTGAAACGTTCGCTCCCGCGTATGCACGACGGCGACAATAATGTACTGAATAAACGTGTCCGGTAGGCCCGCATCGGCCTTACCTATACGACTTTTAAATCCGTACACGGTAAAAACGAGCACACCCAATATGAGCCGCCCCGCGCCTCGTCGTTTAGGACATTATTAATAAGTACCTATTCGTGTACCCCTTTTTCGGTTTTTTTTTTTTATAATTATTATTTTTCCGAGTGCTCGTTCGAAAGAGAGAGAGAGAAATTCGACCAGTTTATTACCCCGGTTTGTAATGCGGTGGGCGCGCGCGCCGGATACGGCCAGTACAAAACAAAAAAAACAAACGACCCGTGTGAAACGGAAACGGAAAAATTGCTTTTCGATGTTCGCTCCCCTCGCGGGGTCGCGATCGTAATAAACCCGAACGCGAGACGACCCGCAATTATAATGTTCGGAACGCCGAATGACTAATTAAACGCGAATAAAAAGTAATACAAACAATTTTGCGTAATATATTGATAACGGTAATAAAAGGGTTACGCGCTTATAATAACGACAAAAAAAAAAAAAAAAAAAAGACAAAAACAAAAGCTCGGGCGCTTATTTTAACGTATTGCGATTTCGACGTTTTGTCTGTGACCTGAACGATATTCTGCAATGTTATTATAACGAAAAAATCAAATAATTGATAATATTAATATGGGAACGGTCGGATCTCGCGTAACCAGCAAACGCGCGATAAATTGAACGGATTTCGACATTTTCGTGAAAACGTTATCGCAATTGTACGGTAAAAACGATCGCGGGGTCGAAACACTCACTAGCAATAATATAATCGTAGTAATGTTATCGCGTAAATTACAATGGGTCGCGGGCGGGATAGGAGGCGTAACTCGCGAAAAAAAAAATTTTTATTAAAAAAAAAAAAAAAAAAAATTAATATCCTTACCTTTGAAAAATAAAAATAAAACTCTCGAGGTGAGCTGATGGAGCTGCGACAACGACGACGTGCAGTACGATGACGTGCGTGGATGGCTGGTGAGCGAGCGCTGTGTTTACAATGATCTGCGTGCGACAGTGGTGAGGTTCGTAACACGACTGACCGTGTCAGGGGTGGCGGCCGGCGTCGTCGGTAACGCGGGCGACGGGCGGCGAGAGACGATTCGCCGACGGGGGTGAGCTGACGGTGCAGACGCCGCGGTTCGCGTGCACAACGATATTATGTATGTATGTAACCTATGTACGTATGTGCGTATGTATGTGCGTATGTATGCATGTATAACGTATGCGTACGTAGGGGAACGGAGCGCGGCGGCGGCGGTGTCGTTGTCGGCGGCGGCTCTTGTCATCCCCACCGCCGAACCGGGTCGGGCCGTCCGACGGTGGCTGGCGCGCGCGCGCGCGCGCCCGGACACCTGGAAACGCGACCGCCGCCGTATACCGAAGGCACGCGCCATCCCCACCACGCGGTCGCCCGAGCGGCGGCGGCGGCGGCGGCGGTGGCGGCGGCGGCAAAGAATGGTACGCATATAAAAAAAAAACCGAAAAAAACAACAACCCAAGAGCACGGAGACGAGTATTTATTACTGCACGCACACACGCGCGGAGCGGCTCCGTAGCTGGCGGGCGGCAGCTCGTGGGAACTTGGAACGCCAACCGGTTTTATTTTTTTCGGTCGTTTTTCGGTGCACTTCTCCGCTCTTAGTATACACCTATATTATAGTACGTATTATACAGTCGTTATGTCGTCGTCGTCGCCGTCGTCGTCGTCGTCGTCGTCGCCGTGCCTCCTGGTTACCAGACTACCGTCGAAGGCCACCGCCACCGTCTCGAAATACGGCTACGACGAGTCGGTAGGCTGCAGTGTGTGTTTTTGTCGTAAACCGATACACCGCGACAATCGTAGGAGTCGACCGGCGAAAATCCTTTGTCCCGGCCGCGGACACCGCCGCGAGCGCGAAACGCGCTCCGCCACCCCGTGCGCGTACGCAGAAAACGCGTCGCCGTTCATCAAAGTCTCCGCGGCGACAGTTCGGGCGCAGTAGTGGGCAATTCGTATAAGCGTAGTCGTGCTCCCCACCCTCTACCCCTCTAATTTACCATAATGTTTTAGATTCTTCTACGGTTTTCTAGTTTGATTTTTATAAATCGACGATATTTGCCCGATGTTTTACGCGACGATTTCTTTTTACGTACTCCCACATTCTCCTTACGCCGATTCAATTACATTTTGCTGCATATTCCATGTAAATGGAATTATATTTTGTGTTGTCACGTGTTATTAGATAAAATCACGGTTAAGTTTTCACCCTTTTTATAGACCTTTCATCGTTTTCTTTTAATCACTTTTGTATTTCGAGTTTAATATTAACCGAAATTAACAGGAACATAGTTTGTAAATATATTGAACACAGTTTACTACAATTTAGTTAATTGTTTGCCAAATGCCAGTTCATATACTCGTAGTTTATTGTAGTGTTATCTAACGTATGCCCGCCAGTTTTACAGAAAGATACTGTGCTAGTAGAGCCGGATTAAGGAAGAAGGGTTAGAGAACAATAGACTACAAGGCCCCTCAACAAAAAGAGCCCCCGGACCAATTTTTGAATTGTAATTTTCCTACAATTATCTCATTAATAATAATTAATTATATAAATCGAATAATTGTAATTTTAAAAAGATCTGATACTGCTGGTATGTGTGTCACTATTGTATGTGAGAACTTGAGAATGTAGGATACATACAGTTATCTATTATTTATATTTGTATGCAACGATAGTCGATAAAGCATTAATAACGAAATGCGAAACTAAGCAAAGTTCAGTTAAACATTTTTTGAATTACCGTGACTACTAATAAATAATGATCAATTATTTTCATTATCCCTTAGTAAAAAATATTATGAACTAAAATTTAAAATAGTGCATAATTTTCAAATATTTTATACAAAATAATAATTTTGTCCGCATAAAATTAAATAAAAATTTAAAAAAAACTGTACAATGTCAGATGGTTATCAATAACAAAAAAATCACCAGAATGTTTTGAACATTTTACCATGTTTAGAAAAGGTCATTAATATTCTTTGAAAATTGCATCTTTCTACGATTATTTATAACCAAATTACTACAAAAACAAAATCGAAAATATTGAAACTTGTTTTGTCATAAACTTTCTCATTTTACTATCATTTTTCCCAATAACCAAGAAAATAACAATGGAATTCTAAAAACGACTTCCTATTGCATCAACAAAATATGTTTTATTTTTTAATAGATGCTTGTTTGATCCAGAAATTCAAAAGTGGGGTACTATCGTTTTCATAGTACTCCCAGTAAAAAACCACTGATACTCTTAAGGTTTTACTGCACCAACGACGAATTTGGGCTCATATGATTATAAATGATCGACTTTTGTTTCAAATTCAAAAATACAAGGGGTTTTATTATTAGTAATTGTCATTTTAAGAATTCCATTATTAAGTCATTTAATTATTTTAATTTCAAAATGTTTCCCAGAGTCCGTATACCATAAATAGTACATTATTATCAACTTTTGAATTTCAAATAGCACAACAACCTCCTTTTTCTAATCAAATTCTAAAATAACCATTCCGTTTACGGAATATAAGGGTAAAATGATGAAAAAGCCGGCTCTCGAACGGCTCCCATCCATTTTTTTTTTTCCCAAAAAGTTTCATGAGTAATTAAATTTCCAAACGATTTTGGTATTTGACACTACTCATATAGTTCTCATTAAAATTTCTTGTATATCTATATTCAAAACGTACAGATGCGACGCAGAAACTCGTATCATATCTTACATTTTACGATAACAAGTTCTATATTGAGTCCATTCAAATTATTAGAGTTTGGATTTTACGTTTCAAACATTTATAAAATTTAATCGGATATGCGATATGGATATGAAACACAATCGTGTCAGCTTGTGTAGTCTGTTCGTACTTCAATCTGTTCACGATATCCGCCGTCGATGTGTGCGTTTGTTGATTATTATATTTATTTATTACGTTTTAAATCTCGGATGTCAAGCGAAATTTGTAATAAAAAAATGATAGACTATTTTGTCTAATTAATTGACCCAAGTCTGTATGAAGTGGGAGGGAATTTGTGTTGTAAAAAACCGGAGCCGTTTGGAAATTCACCCTTTTGTAAAACGGGAGACGTTTAGGAAAGACGAGAACCGAATAGATTACGACCGTTGAAAATAATTGCATTGAAAAAAAGATCGATGCTGCTGATGATTGTGCCGCTGTTTTAGGAAATGAGTAGGAAGAATAGATATACAATTAATAGAATAATAGTATAGAAATAATTTAATTTATATCACCTGTTCGAAACGATAAACCGTTGCAAACCGAAAAACGATTTTGAGCAGAGTCGTGGGTTTTCCCTTTTTGCCGAGATGATTCAGAAATCAACAAAAATCAAAAAAAAAATAAATAAAAGAGGTGAAGTGACGATTACGATTACAATGAAAAATCATAAATGACCTCTCCAATACATTAACTGTAGTGTATATTAATATTACTGGCTAATGATAAAATATATTATCGTATATAACTGTCTTGAAGTAAGTGTAAGAGTAGATAAAAATATAGATAAGTATTAATATATATATAAAAGGATTAAAAAACCGATGACCGTCGATATATTTTAATTTATTTTTCGAGATGAGCCGTTTAAAAATTATTATATTATTTTTTTTTATGTTCCGTTTTTTGAAATCGTCCGAACCTGTTTGCCGGCATCGTATATAATATAACCTGACGCCTGACACGCGCTTCTCTCGTAATAAATAGACCATTTTTGGACAACAAACAGTAAATAGATGATTTTTTTTTTTAGCAACCATTTAGACCGGTTTCATTATTCGAATAGGTATACACGAACCGAACGATTATACAGTTATATCGACTACCAAAAATAAAACGTTAAGGTACCTACTAATTTAATTTCCCCAAAAACTAGTCGAATTATTGTGTGTTGCCTGCAGTGGCCGCGGCGGTTAGTTGAAATGTTATAGCGCAATTACGACGATAATATGTAATATTAAAATATTAAAAATGCGAATAAAAAAAAGAAAAAAAAATTTTACAGCTGTAACATTTTATAGATAATATTATGATCAAAATTAAAAAATATATTTTAAAACGATTTTTTTCTGTTGCAATTTTTAATATCTTCGGGTTTATACCTTCCATATTCGCTCAATAATAAAGCAATTATTTATTTAGTAATTTTAATTTAATTTTTAATCATAAAATGTATATATTTCAGCCAAGCCACAAGGATACAAGAGAAATTTTTTTTTTTTGGATCCGGCTTATTTCGAATTCCCATTGTCAAATTTGGTAGAGAAGAAGATTCTACAATTTATTTATGGTTTTCATTTGCTACATCCTTTTCCAATGAAAATTCCTGAGCATACCTCTGCGGTCCTTTAAGGTCGCCTCGCAATCAATTCTCCAGCAATTATCTCATCTCGTATACTATATCCAACGCCAAAATCTATTAATTCGATACGTATTAAAAATTTCACATCTATTTTACCAACCTTGGTCTTCTCAAAGGGCTTTTTCCGATATTCCTAGTTCCTACATCACTGCTTGTATTCATATATTGGCGAAGGTTGGATTTCCCTATATGCACGTCCAGTCCATATCATCGTACCCTTCCTTTTTTGACGATATCAAAAATATTCCTGTTTCCAAAAATTATCTGCAGTTTAGCTCTCGGTTTTTCTTTCGTATCCTGCATCCGCTGATTACCGTTATTCTTTACCGGTCCAAATATTTTCCTTGACATTTTTTCTCTCGAGTAGGTACTAATCAATATTGTATTTTCGTCCGTTTTCCTTAGTGGCCAAGTTTCATAACAGTGTATAATATTACAATGATCGTATTTAAGATAATATAATATTGTACTATTTTTCCACTTCTCATAATGATAGTGATCGTGAATTTACACAAATAAAACAAATCGCGAATTTTAAATAATTAAAACAATTTGTTTTTTTGTAAAACCAAGCCGTTATAGTGATGTATTATTAATACATTATTCATTGTTA